AAAATTTGTCCAGGATTCTATTTTCAAAAAAAAAAATTAGGCTTGGCAAGATTTTAAAATATTTAGACATAGTCCTGATTTATTTTTTAATGTTATTTTTGGTCTAACCAGCATCTTTCAATCGTTTAAGTTGTTATTGATATTTCTATCTTCAATATCAACAAAGATTCTACCTTATAATATATACTTGTTAAACATATTTTTATTTGAATCATTTTGGAGGAATTCTTTTGAAATTTTATTATAAATAAACAATTTTTTAGCTAAATCTTTTATAGTTTTTTTTTAGAATCTTTGTAAAATTATCTATTTTTTTTTAATATATTAAAAGATGTGGTTTCTTCTAAATAATTTTTTTAAAAATATTTATATCTTTTTTATGTTATTTTATATGAACCTTTTTGACATAAAAAGTAAAATAATATTTATATTTTAAAGATGTTAAATTATAAATTCAATGAAGATGTTCCATGAAAAATTGGCAATTATAATAATCAATATTTTTAAACATATAATTGTTTTTTTGACGCTAATGGTTGTTTTTAAAATTTTTGATGTAAATGGGCTAAAATAAGTATTGTTAAAAGGTTTAAATAAAACTTCAATGAAGATGTACCCTAGATAAGTGACAATTATCATAATCGTTATTTTTAAAGTCTATAGAATTTTTTTGATGCAAATGGATATAACTATAAGTTGTAACATGTTAAATTAAAATTTCAGTGAAGATATACTATAGATAAGTGACAATTGTCATAATCGTTATTTTTAAAGTTTTTTAACGCAAATGGGTAAAAATATATATTGTAAACATGTTAAATTAAAATTTCATGAAAATGTAGCATATAAAAGTGACAATTGTCATAATTGTTATTTTTAAAGTTTTTGACCCAAATGGGTTAAAATGTAAAAATGTCAAATTTAAATTTCATGAAGATGTAAGAAAGTGGCATTTGTCATAATCGTTATTTTTTAACATTTTTTGACACAAAAGGGTAAAAATATTTATATTGTAAAGATGTTGAATCATAAATTCAAAGTAGATGTTCATTGGAAAAATGACAATTATCATAATCGGTATTTTTAAAAATATTAGATTTTTTTTTAAATTAAGATGTAACATATATAAGTAACAATTGTCATAATCGTTATTTTTAAAAGTTTTTTGATGTAAATGGGCTAAAATAAATATTGCTAACATGTTTAAATAAAATATTAGTGAAGATGTTCCCTAGATTAGTGACAATTGTCATAATCGTTATTTTTGAAGTTTATTGAATTTTTTTGACACAAATGGGTATAAATATAGGTTGTAAATTGTCACTTTCCTACATCTTCATGAAATTTAAATTTGACATTTTTACGATATATTTTAACCCATTTGGGTCAAAAAAATTCAAAAGACTTTAAAAATAACGATTATGACAATTGCTTCTTATCTATATATATTTACTGAACTTTTATTTTAACATGTACGCAATCTATATTTTTGCCAATTTGCGTCAAAAAAATTCAAAAAACTTAAAATAAAGATTATGACAATTGCTACTTTTCCATGGTACATCTCTTTAAAAATGACAATTGTCACTTTTCCATGGTACATCTTCATGAAATTTTAATTTAACATATTTACAATATATATTTTTACCCATTTGCGTTAATTTTCCCATTTGCGTTAAAAAATTCAAAAATTTTAAAAAATAACGATTATGACAATTGTCACTTATCTCATCTTCACTGAAATTTTAATTTAACATGTTTACAACCTATATTTATACCCATTTGTGTCAAAAAAATAAAATAAACTTCAAAAATAACGATTATGACATTTGTCACTTATCTATAGTACATCTTCACTGAAATTTTAATCTAACATGTTTACAACCTATATTTATACCCATTTGCGACAAAAAATTCAATAAACTTCAAGAATAACGATTATGACAATTGTCACTTATATAGGGTACATCTTCACTGAAGTTTTATTTAAACATGTTAGCAAATAAATATTTTTAAAAAAGTAATTTAGAAAAAACCAATTCTTTTAATATACAAAAAAATAGATAATTTTACGAAGATATAAAAAAAACTATAAAAGATTTCATCTAAAAGATTGTTTATTTATAATAAAATTCTCAAAAAATTTCCTCAATTACAAAGAAAATTTAGAATTCTTATCAAATGTTCAAAAATCTTTTTCAAAAGGTTTTTATGCTTAAAATTTTGGGCATGACAAAAAATTACTAATAAATTGTAATAAAAATAATATTACAATAGTAGCATTGCATTTTTTTTTATTAAAAAAAACATCTAAATAAATCTATTTTCATAATATAATAATTAAAAAAAAAAATTTATTATATTCTTTTAAAATATTTAAATTAATAAATTTTGGCTCAAAATTAGACTCGAGCAAACTCCTGAGCCGTCTTGAGCCAATTTTTGAGCCGGCTTGAGCCACGAGCCGGCTTGAGCCAACTTTCTAAGCCAGCTTAAGCCTAAGCCAATTTCGAGGTCGGAGCCGTATAAACTCGGCTTTTTAACAACACTAATCTTAAATGCCGTGGTAGAAAATCTCAATAGTCAGGATATCATGCTACCTAGACCTTGAAAATCTTCATCTATTTAAGGACTTATATTCTCAAACATTCTAAAAAAAATAAAAGGAAAGTTTGGATAATTTAGAATAACCTGAAAGCCTGCATAAAGTTTCTACCATGTAATAATGGTTTTTATTACTTTATTGTGGATTCTAATGCTTCTATGATATTAATTATAATCTTGGCCAAGACATCAAGTGTGCTTATCAACAGTTTAAGGTCAAAACCACACTTTCATGGCAATGATTTCGAGCCAATCCAATGGGCTGTTATATCCAAAAAAGTTGTTTGATCATAAAGATCCACCTCTTTTAGAAGAGAAAAATATATTGTAGGATAAAATAGAAATTTTATTTCAGTCAATTCAAATTTTCTTCACCTGATAACAATATTATATCGTCTTCCGTGTTTTATTATTTAAAAGCGAATAAAATAGTTTCATAAATTTAAGTAAATATATGTTTTTATTCTAATCATTGAACAAAATAAATACCTTTAATGTTAAGATTATTTTTTAACCAATATATGCAATAAAATTTTAAAAAAGGAGCTAGCGCTCCCGATTTTTAAAATATTGTGGCTCACCATGTGTTTTTGAAAAAAGTAAACGAATGTTTATTTAATTTTTGAATATTAAAATATGTAATAAATATTTAAATTTTGATATTATTTTTCGATCGTTCCTGAACTGTTCTGGAAACGTTCCCGCTCCCATGATGTTCTACAATTTTATCCAAGTTCTGTTACCGGAACGCACTATACCATATCGTTGATATTATTTTATCATGGAAATATTACTTTTAGCGCAACAAAAAAACAAAATATTTTAGAATATTATTTTAAAAAATGAATGTTAACAATTACCGTTATAAAAATAAACAACTTGGTATATAGATTTGTTTGTTATGGTTCAGACTATTATAAAGCTTCATTCTAATAAAACGATTCAGTTCACTCGGGTCCCTGGTTATACCGCTATAAAATTTGTAAAGGAGATACCTATTTTTTCTAAAATATGTGATAGCTCGAATAAAATGACAAATCCTTTCAATTTTTTTAAAAATAATAGGATTATTATTATCAATATCAAATCACGAAATCAAACGTGAATTCAGATTTATCAATTCTAAAAATTTCTAAATAATTTTTAACATATTTTATTTATATGATTATAGAATTAAAATCAAATTCTCTTTTACCAATAAATTTTGTTTCTAGTACCAACAAAATAATCTCTAAGTTATATCTTGAAATTTTTATGTATATTTTGAACCCTATTCCTTTTTCAAATAATTTCATAATTAAAAAGTATATTTTAAAAATACTAAACCAATAATTGATGCCAAATTTGTTGCTCGACATTCCTGACCAAATAAGGCGGTTTAGGCTATTTACATATGATCTCATAGCAAGTTTCATTCCTTTCGATTGTTAAATTAACGCTGCAACGAATAAACCCTTCTCGGTAGGCAGAATTACAGTGTCAATTTCTATATGTATTTTCTCATCTATCATCACTTCTAAAAATTAATTATAATTTTAATTCTAAATTTCAGGGCATTCTATCTAGCTTCTTCACTTGGTTACAAACTTAATGGTTAGAAGCAATCCCTAGTCAAAATTTCAGCAATTTATTATCAGGTGGGCAGAGTTGCTATAAGTCTACATCTAGGCTATGGCATAGTTCAACCGTATAAATTGAAAAAAATTAGTCACCTCTAAATGGATTGACTAAAATCCTTTGGGCATCAGGTAAATAAATATGATTTCACTTGTGTCTCCTCATTCCATCAGCCAAATATATAAGCTCATCAACATAGTGGAATCAAAAAAAAATTAGGTAAATTTTTATTCAGATAGTTTTGTTAATAAATGGACATAATTAATTTATATAGTTTGTGGAATATGGAGAAAGACGAAGGATTTCCTGGCTATTTTGGAATCAAAAAAAAATTAGGTAAATTTTTATTCAGATAGTTTTGTTAATAAATGGACATAATTAATTTATATAGTTTGTGGAATATGGAGAAAGGCGAAGGATTCCCTGGCTATTCTTTTATCATCAATATCAGTACAAAGAGAGTTTTAAATAATAGGTGCTGATTGGATTGAGTAAATGAACAGTGAGTTAAGTTTGGCGCAATAGCCGTATTTAAGCTATGTTCATTATAAATGTACAAAGATTCTAACGTGCTTTCTTTTTATCGTCTAAAAGAAATATGATTTGAAGCAATGATATATTATTTAGGCCTTTAGGTCGAGTAAACCAGACTAGGGCTTTAAATTCAATTTCATGAAACCTAGAATATGCCGGGTTGATAAATAAAATTAAAATGATCAAATTGGGAAATGATTTTTATTTTCATATGAATAAATATAATTGAAATTTGAGCTGTGAGAAAAAATTGGCTTATAAATCGTTTAAATCATTTTTTAAAATATTTCCTTTTAAAAATTAAAAAACAAAAGTAAATTTATTATACAACTTTATAATACTAATGAGGTTAACAAGTAACCAGATAGGTTAGCAAATAAAATAGGACCACTTCGCAGTATAATATATATCAAGACTATGATTTAAACAGTGAATGAAGATCGTCAAAACTTTCTTGAACTTTTTGAATAAATATTTTGGAATTCATTTTGGAACCAGAATCGCGATAACTTGTAGCAAAGACTCCAAGTTTGTCCTTTTCGATACCATAGCTAATACCTATTAAAATATGTTATTAACGGTTCAATAAAAATATTTATAATCTCTTCGAATAGATAAAAACACAAATCCTAAATTTGTAAGAACGCAATTAAATTAGAACTTAAAAACATTTTCTAGTCATTTAATATACGAGATTTGTAATGTATAACTGTATGCAGTAATAAAACTGATCGATATATTTTTTTTAATATATAAAAAAGTTGTGAATTCCCGGCGATGGATTTAATAGCTCATTGTATCTTTTATACACTTTTGAAAAAGTATTTATTTTATTCCTTCTGTGGTCAAGGAATCAGAGGATTACCTCGCAGTTCTCTGATTTGTTCATAAATTATAAATGATAATTGCCTTTTATAAAGTCTTTTAATTCAAAATTTTATTATTTGGTTGATTTTCGGGGGTGTTTTTCAAAATAATGAAAGATTCAATAAAATAAGTTGAATGTATACCTAATCCTTCTGGAACGACGGGACCGAACCCGCCCATTTCTATAATGGGACTTTCGACGGTTGAAGTGGATAAAATATTTTTATTCATGAGGGCGTAAGCGGGATCCGTGAAAATAGATGGTAAATTTTTACCCGTACCTTCCGATAAATGCTTTAAGATAAAGAGATGCCTATCGAATCCTTGACCTATAAATTATATTCAAATTTACATAAATAATTCAATTTATAGCGCCTTCTATATAAATATTATATCGCTTTCTATATTTTGTCACGTAAATATCTGTTTGTATTTATATAATCATAAGAGCACCCTCGATATTTTACTAAACCCAAACTCGGACTCTTTTTTCAAATTTAAAGTTCAGGATTCTATAATTTTTTTTTCAATTAAACTTTTTTTATATTAAAAACTATATTAAAACTAGTTAATAACCTGTCAAGAATGACGGGGTTGAGGGGTAATCAGTTAGTTTGTGTATATGGTACTAAATATGCCTTATATTAAAATTTAGGAGAAAAAGAGGTAAAAGTGTTGCAATGTAACCCGTGAGCATTAAGGGTATTTAGATATCAAAATTTAAATTTGTGATAGTAATCATATTGGGTAAAATTAAAAATAAAGATGCTTTAAAATTTTTGAATTTTAAATATGGGCTAGACATTGGCCTCAAAATGTTTTGCAGACACAATTAGGCCTGATCAAAAAACCACGTCCCATGCAACTTTTCCAAAATTTTGACATTTATTTCTATTGTAATTTAATAATAATGTCTTAAATTTAATTCTATATTTAAAATTAAATTTAAATTTGTGATAGAAATCATATTGAATAAAATTTAAAATAGAGATGCTTGGAAATTTTTTAATTTTAAATATGGGGTAGACATTGGGAAATTTTGTTTTGCAGACATAGCCAGGTCTGATCAAAAAACCAAGTCCCATGCAACTTTCATAAAATTTTGTCATTTATTTCTATTGTAATTTTATAACAATGTCTTAAATTTAATTTTATATTCCATTATTTCTATTGTAATTTAATAACAATATCTTAAATTTAATTTTATATTTAGAATAAAATTTAAATTTGTGAATAGAAATCATATTGGGTAAAATTTTAAATAGATATGCTTGAAAATTTTTTAATTTTAAATATGGACCAGACATTGGCCTGAAATTTTTTCTCAAACCTGGCCAACCCATAATAATTTTGTAATTTTTTCCCAAGTCTGGAGATAGATAAATCTCTGAAACCCATATTGTTGGAAAAATTTTCTCAAGTCCGCCAAAGACCATAATAATTTTGTTAGTTGAGAACTGAAATAAAATATATAAAAGTCATAATTTTGGTTTTTAATCAGGCCTGGTGATTTCTGCAAAAAGAAATTTCCAGGCCAATGTCTAGCCCATATTTAAAATTAAAAAATTTTCAAGCATTTATATTTTATACTATATGATTTCTATCACAAATCTAAATTTTGATATTTCTAATACATGATGCTCAAGGTATACATTGCAACAATTTTACCTCTTTTTCTCCTAAATTTTAATATTTAATAAAATTTATTAATAAAGTATAATAAACACAAACTAAATAATTACCCTTCAACCCCGTCAGCTAGTATGGTAATAAACGGCAGAATTTTAAAAATAACTTAAAACATGCGACTTTGAAACGGGAGGTTTGTGGTTCAACTCTCGTAGAGAGCAAAAAAAATAACATTACACTATATAGTCTCCTTAAATTTTAAATACATTAAGAAGTTACAAAAATGATCATGTTTTGATTATGGAGATTATATATATTAGATTAAATATAAAAAACATAAACTATTTAAAACCATAATAATGAATCATTTTTATAATTTAGAGTACGCCATTTTATGTAAAATTTTTTAATTTAACTAGAACATTTTGTAAATTATTTTTAAAATAAATAATTTAGGAATATTTAAAAGTAAAACCAAAGAAAATAAATTATAAGGTAAAAAAAATGCGAGTTGCATTTCACTGTCAAAATTAGACATAAAAAATCGATATTTTAATTTTAGCATTAAGATTTTGGAAGATATCATGATAAATTCACTTATAAAATTTAAAAAAAATTTATTATTTTTTTTTAAATTTTATTGTTTTATTCTAATTATAAAGTGTGTTTATGGTAAATTTTAAATAAATATGTTGTTTTTATGGTAAATTCTTTACTTTTCTAGACTGCGAACACCGGGTTCAGAGATATTTCATTGAACCAGAATTTTTTTTAAAAAGAAGAATTCAAAGCACTGATTATATTATCTAATTTTATTTTAAATTTAGGTGGAAAAATAATTTTTGAACATTAATTAAAGTAATAATGTTGGTAACAAAATGCATATTTTTAATTGTTTCACTTTATATTTGTAATATTTAAGCAATGAACCTATTCTTAGGGAAGATTAATACAAAATTTTCTGTATTATAAAAACGATAATTTCAGTCAGATTTTTGGGTTTGTCTATCTCTATTGAAAAATAAGATGTTAGCATGGGAAAATGTAGGCCTTTATGCAATCCGTGACAAAATTCTCTTAATGAGAAAAGGATTCTCGAGTAAATAAATATGAACAAAAACAAAATAAATTCATACAACCGAATTTTTGCATCTAATTATATAAAAGTGCTGTAAATGTTACTTCAAAAATGAAACGCGTTACTCTACGTCTGATAAAAGGAACGCGCGTTATTGGTTATTCAAAATATTAAAGCCAAGGTGGGCTTTACTCATCTTCATCTGAAGAAAATTTACAGTTGACATAATATTAATTAGATTAACAATCTTGACTGAAAATTTAAGAACGAAAATTATTAAAATGAAGGAATTTGGTGGTTGATGTGAATTTAAAAAAATAAAAGTAATTTTATAATACAATAAAATATGTTTTTTCAATATTTTTTAAGAAGAAATTGAAGTAACGAGTAAGGTTTTACGTTACCGTTACTCAAAAAAAAGGAAATGCGTTACTGTTACTCGGTTACCTCTAGAAGAAGGTAAAGAATGGTGTTCCTTTTCTTCAAAAAAAATAGTGCTGTTAGTAACGACGTTACTTTACAGCACTTATATATATCTGTGAAGAATTAAATGCCCATTTCACCGAAATAACAGTCCCATCAAATTTTAATGATATATATCGATTAGTTAGAATTGATCCTAGAGTCGATATCTAAGTTTTAAAATTTTATTCAACATTTATTTGGTTGAAATTTCAATAATCAATATTTGGCAAATTCAACCCCACTGTTGTATATATAATTCGGCTAGTAAACTTTTATAATTGAATATTCTTTACTTAAAATTAAAGCCTAATTATGGTGAAAACAAAAAGTAAACATATTTTAAGTACAGGTCATCAATATCTGATTGTAAATTAGAAAATATTAAATACTATGGTTACATGAATATTTTGTAAAGAATCTCTAATCGAGGTAATACTATATAATTGTTTAGACAGTGTTCTGGTTTTAAACAGTCGTCTGTTAAGCCATCTAAATAGCTTCCTCTAAACATCCTAAAGGAAAGAAACTATTTAGATTTACATAGTTGACAACGAATTTGTTTTATTTGTACCGCAAAAATATATAAATAACATATAATATTTATTTAATGTACACACTTAAAATAAACCATGTTCTAGTTCAAAATCTGTTAGTCTTGGCTAAATATATATGTTTCAAAAATATGACGAGCTAGGACAAGGCCTTACTATTTAATGGGCTGAACATGTTAGATAATATTATTCGAAGCTTAAATCCTAAATATCAACTTTATACCTGAATCACTCTAAGCTGGAAGGGAATGCTGAAAATTTTAAGAATACTTTAATGATGTAACACTAATTGAAAATGTTAAAAGAGGGTTATATTATTTTTGAATACCTAGCCTAATATTTTGAATTTAAAACACAAGAAAATATAATTGTTTTTTACGAATGGAAATGAAATCGTATTTTTGTTCCCCGCCAGATTTTTAAGCATCAGGTTGCCCTATAATATAAATTTTCATGTCGACTATTCCAATTTCAATATATATACACATTGTACCCATGGCTGCTTCTCGCGTCAATTTGGAATGCGTTTTAGAGCAGCTTCTAACCATATCTTTGGCCGCATCGGGTAAGAGGCTTTATAAAATAAATTATAAATATAACAGGTTAAGAAAGTATTATTTTTGAAACAATATTTGGGGATTGAAATATATCAGACAGTCATTCCTTTTTAATACTTGAAAGTCTTATCCAGAAATGTTTTGCAAAAAGATTTGGTATCAAGGGTAGCAGGTCTAATTGTCTCAGTTCGTCCTTTCTTGAATGCGGCGGTACTACAAGATTCATAGGAAGCGGATGTGCGTGTTAGTATCTTATAATTTGCCATCTATTTTAGAATATTGTATCATTTTAAATACCATCTTAATTACAATTTCATAATTTATATATTAAATCAAATGCAAAACCTAACCTGAAATGATAGTTGTAAAATAGAGTCTGGGCTAAGACCACAGGATTTAATAAAATTTTTGCCAAATTTATCGTATTGTAATCCTTGGATGTCAAAATTTTGATTCAAAGCTACCAACTTATTACTCGCCTTAGTCAATTTTTTCTCCAAGTCAGAATTCAATTTGAAATCTTTTATTGATTTTTTTTGTAAACTATATTTAACGATAAATCTGTTAAAGGATATAATTGAAAATAAAGTTACCTGAAATGGTATTGATAAAATATTAGTTACTCGCTATTCAAAAAAAGGAACACGTTGCTTTTTAAAAAAAATAAAATATTTTAAAAAATAAGTACTTTTGTAATATTTTTTTTTTATTTTTAACAATTGATTTTCAAAATTTTGATCAGATAAACAAGAGCGCATAAGCTCAACATAGTTTTCGCGGTGATAAACACATTTAACTAGTGCAGAGGATGGGAGGACTTTATTATATTTAATTATCAATTGGGGAAATTTAATAAAAATATTAAATATTTTCAAAAAAACTTTTTAGATCATCATCAAGTTTTATTTATCTTGATCAGAATTTATATTATTACCTTGTTTCTTAGATTTGATACTAAAATATTTGAATTAAAACACAGTTTACACATGTAAAGTGTAGACTTAGTGCCCTTAATTTTCTATATTTGTGTATAAATGTTTCCTACTGGGGCCAGTTAAATCATCTTCATGAAATAAGTAGTGTTGCTAAACGGCTCGATTTGAGCATATTTTTCAAAAAAGTTAACTCAACATTTTAGCCAGAAAAATATTATCTGAGCCTCGAGATTTCGTTAATATTATGTTCAGACCTTTGTGTCACCTATAAGCAAAATCTTAAGGCTTGCATAATAATTTTCCTGATAAAATAATGAGTTTTTAACAACACTAAAAATAAGTACTTATTCACATATATTATTTATAAAATAAATGATATTAGAGAATAAAAATTAACATCGGTCTAGAATTGGAGTGCTCCATTTGCAAAATTGTTAAAATTAGGAAAAACGATTTTAACTTTTGAGATAGATGTTATTAATCCTTATTCCTTAATATAAATATCATTTAATATAAATAAAAAATTGAGAGATAATTCATAATATTTTCAAATGATAGCCTAAAAAATTTTATTTTGTGAGAATTTTATTTAATAAAATCAAAATGCAGGAGCAAAATCACTTATTAAATTATTTTTTTTATTCAAAATGCTCCACTTTAATTTTATTTATGAGAATTTATTAAATAAAAGCAAAACAAAATTTATTCATAGAAATAATAATTAGGTGAATTGTCCATATTTAACTAATAATTACATTGTGAATTTAAATTTATAATTAGTTTTTTCAATAAATAATCAAATGTAGTAATAGTTTATATCTATAATTTTTTTAGCTTACAAAAATCAATTGGCATTTATAAAAGGTAATAATTAAATGCTATATTATAAAAAAAATATGTCCTGTGCCACTTCATTCTGCCGATTAGAATTTCAAACATTATGCCGGTCGCCGATAGTCATATCGGATATTTAATAAAAAAGCTCACGTACAAATGCCCTATTATAAGTAACAGAAAGCATAAGCAAAAAACAAGTTTGTAATGAACATTCAAGTATTAATTTATAATTTTTTCCATTATCTTAAATAAGTTTCATGGTAATAATGTAGTACCCGAGCCTGCAGGTCTCTGATTTATATAAAGGGTTCATTGGAGGTAAGCAATTTATATTATTGTTTGGTAAGCCAAGGGTTAAAATATCTCATTGTGACCTATGGAATTTTATAAGAAGTAATATTTTGAAAATGGTTCTGGTAAATCTAGATATCACATATTAGATATTTTGGATCAATCTGTCATCTCCCTCAATTTATGATTAAAACCTGGAAAAAATCTTAATAATCTATTATTTATATATCTCAAATAATGTATAATACATAGTGTCTTCCCAATTTTATTTTCAAAAAGTGTAAACTTATGCTATATTAGCGTTATTTATAATTATATATAAAAACATGATATCAATAGGGATGATGTGAAAACAATATATAACATTCATAAACAAAAATAATAACAATATATCAGAAAATTTAACTCTTTCAATTGTTAAATCTTACATTTCGTAATTTTATTTATATTGATCTAATGATGAAAACTATCTTGACATAAAAGAGAGAAAAATTTCATTTTAATGGAAAGCAATTTAAAAGCCTCCTATGAAATTTGCAATTATTTTGATTTATGATGTCCATTCATTAACCAATAAGAAAAATCAATATTGCTAATGCAGATTCTTAATATAATAAACTAATCCTAGTCCATATTGTGTTCTGTAAGGATCAGACAAATCAGGTCAATTTTTATGTATTTTGAACAAATTTGATATTTTAGATGTGGCGAATCAACTATTTTGATTTCATCGTAAGAGAGGGGGGGCTCCATCTCTAATATCAAAATCGTTTCAGAAAAATAAAGAGATGTGATAAAATATGAGCCGAACAAGGTTTGAACCTAAATCTTAGATTACATGAAAATAAGCGATAACTTCAATCTAATGCAATACAACTATAGAAAAATGTGATTTGAATTTATATATCACCTTACTAAACTATGTGTAGCACGAATCATGAAAACAGTAAAGCAATTAACTGTTATATAATAATACTATAGTAATGAATGTATAATATATTATAAAAACCTATAGATGTAATAAAATCCTCATATTTAAGCCCCGTGGTGTTTGCATCTTTGGGATCTAGAGCAGGCCTGGTGACTGAATCAATATATATGTCCGTCAAAAATCGAACTACACTGACGCCATCTCCCCAAGAATGTTCCATATTTACAGCTGCTTGACCACCAGGGCCTACGATTAACTGAAATGATTTATCAAACCATCTTCAATGTATTTTTTTGAAAACTTCTTCTATAAGTTTTAAATTATTATGATAGGTATAAACTTTAATAGTTCTTTTTAAAAATATTGCTATAATTTTTAGATGTCTAACAGTATATCATGTATATTTTAAATGGTATACATTATATAATTTTTTAATATTAAATATTACTCTTTAAACATAAAATTTTATCTTATATAATAGTACCATTAAAGGGTGATAAACTTATTAAACATTTTAAATATATTCTATAACATTCGGGTACATTATATTTTTAACCCCATCAGTCTATAAAGAAATTTATTTTGGAATGAGAACCAATCCAGGTTCCAAATATTCTCATCTTCATTATTAAAATTATTAGGTCTTTTGAATTCTTATTGATTCCATTCAGGTGCGTAATTAAGAGCGGGAAATATGGAAATTTAAAAATTTGCTTGTTCTTAAGCTAATTAAACACCCCCCCCCTCCCCCACCAAAAAAAGCATTTCATAAAAAAGGAAGTGAACCAAATTATTTTTTTCATAAAAATATAACATAGCCAAAGGTCTACAATAAGTGAACCTAATGACCTCCAATAAAATTTATAGAAAATCCTGGATATGCCCAGGGACGGACTAGCTATGCTGAGACCTCATTGGCAATTTTTTCTAGCGGCCTCACTCTATGATCCTAATTTTTCGCTTTTACCCGGGCTATGGTCGGGCCTCCTTTAATCGCTTATTCCAATTATATAGGTTATTTCTTATATTTTGGATAAAAACATATAAAACGATAGGTTAACTATTGCAGCTATTACATTAATAAGAAAAAGGCTATTATGACCTGATAATCACATATTTTATTTTAAGAATTTCACATTTAAAATCGAACGTAACCATTTGAGATAAAGGTGGTTCTTCTTTGAATACCAGTAATTGTTAATTTTTCAAATAAGGTGTAACCCTGTAATGCTCATATTACAGGTCAGAAGAGACATATATTAAACATTAATTGCACTTGGACGGAGTTATTATTATCTTCTGTTGTTTCATCACCGCCATCACTATTTCATTTAACCTGACTATCAAATTTTTGTAATTACGGGGAAATTCATGTCGTAATTTGTCACTGTATACATTTTTTAATTGCCAAACTTTTTAAAGTTTTTCAAAAATACCTTTGATATTTATTTCATCAAAATGCTTCTTATACAAATATTGCACATTCATTATAGTTCTTTGTTACCCAAAACGTTCAGTTAAACTATTTATAATTTGATCACGAGGAAATACCTTAACAGTATGGAGGTCAATCGGATATGCGCACATTTAGCATTCATCATGGTACATTCTTCTGGTTTGAATTATTCTATTTTTTAGTATTTCATTTTGTACCCAGATGTTGTCAAGCAGCTTTAAATCAATAACTTTTCATTTGAATTTAAACCATTTATATAGGTTTATTTTGAATGAATGTGAAGATTATAAAAGATACAAAAGACAGCATCCATTTTCTATATAAATTATTAGTTCGAATCGAAAATATGAAATGCTAAGTGTTCATTGTTGAAGTTTTGTTTACCTAAAAACTTTATTATCTCAAATATTTATTTTATTACATGCATATTATTGAGAATCTGTAGATTTTCAATTATCATTTTAAAGCTAATTGAATTTTATTTTATTAAATATCAAAACTATATTTTCGAATCGGAAATAGAAAATCATAAAATAGCAATATCTAAAATAATAATCCCTTATGATATTATAAATATTTAAAGAGGAAAAAATAACTTTAATATATAAAATATATGAATATAAGAAAAATGTTTTTAAAGGCTGTGTCCTGATTCGAATTAACCCTCTATTGCGAACACGATATTTGAATACACATATCATAAAAAAAGGTATAAATTTTAATATAAAATTTTTTTTTATAGTTTAATACACATGATGTATAATAGATACACATATATTTTATTTATTTCTATAGTTAATTTAAAATACGTAGTTAACAACTTTCGAATAGTTGCATTTTTTCCATTTTATAAATTATGTCATTTATCTTGTACAAATTTTTAAGGAACAGGAAGTTAAAAATCCTATTAAATAAAGGTAAAAGATCTCTATATGCTATCTATAGTCAAAATGTACTGTATTAAAGAAGATAGTTCTGATTCTAATCTTAGTGGCTCATCAGATGAGGAAATTCATGATTCAAGCAGATGTTGATTCAAGCGGAAATGCGGTATTTCAATTATTGGTACCACTACATTCTAATTTAAACTGTGTTTTGATAATTGGTTCTGTGGTAAAGAACTTCAAGTATTACTCGCTCAAAAGGGAGTATAGCCACAGCGAGAGCTAATAGAATTTATAATTATGATATCATGATGCTCATAAATCTTGATTAATGTGTAGGCAATAATTTGTAGCTTTAAAGGTACCAGTAAAAGAATAGATGCCATTATCATTTAAAATATCAATAGCAGATAATCTGTAAAAGTAACAAATAACTAGCGTAAAAAAACGAATATCAATTGACCAAAATATAAAGAAAAATCTAGCTTATTACGCAGAAAAAAATAAAGCATGATTTAATAGCACTTTGACCAAAATATAGTAAAAAGGCGCGGTGCAAAAACCCTGGGTGTAGATTGGTTACGAGTACCAAATATAGTGTATCATTATTTACTATAAAAAACTATTGTTTTAAATTATTTCATGAAAATTAATATAAATTTGCTTTATTACATTATTTATCAAATAAAATAATTATATATCTTTATTTTGTAATAGTTTTAAATGAAAAATATGATACTTTTTACACGCATTGTATATTTAAATACACACACTGAAATATTTTTTACAATTTTTTTTTAAAAAATTATTTTTAGTTAAAGACAAAAATATTTTTTAAAAAATTATGTCGTCCAATAGAGGGTTATTTTTGATAATACTTAATTGCTATTATTAGATTTAGAAAGATATATAAAAATTGAAAAAAATGGCAAAAAATATATATTGCAAAAAAATGACGTATTTTTATAATGAATTTATATGCATAAATCGGAATAGATTTTAAAAAAAGTGTAAAAAACTTAAAAATTAGCCAAAATCTTTTTAAATATTTTTAATAACTGTGACTTATCAACCACTTTTATAATATATGGATAAGAATCCATTGAGAGGAAGCCCGTTAACTTTATCACATTAACTGGAAATATGCTTTATCATATGACTTGCACGCAATTTCTTCATAATAATATTCATAAGGTGAAACCGCGGCTCACATTCAGTAGTATTATAAGGAATTAATATAATTTTCAAACTCTTTCAAATCACGGGAACATTTATTATTTTCATTAATATCATGAAAATATTCCTTCATTCCATTTATTGCGAGATCCATATCGAGTTCCAGTGGGAAACAAAGTCGTTTAATTTTCCCTTAACGAAGGGTCTGCTGACCAGTTATCCTTTTCTAAATATTCCATATCAGATAAGATAGATAAAAATATAAAACTATATAAATAGTTTTTTTAAATAGAATTATCAGAATCACCAATTAACCTATTTTGCATCTAATTGATTTTCGTTGATAATGTATTAATTTTTTGTGCCTTTTTAATATTGTTCTCTTTATAAATATTAAATCAACATTTATTTATAAATTATAAAAAGAAAATTTTAAGAATCAATTAAAATAGGGAAGTTAGTTTTTGAATTAAAATTGTACAATTACATTAATATACTACAAAATATTTTTTTAAAAATATTAATATGCTAAAATGCAAGGCAAGCTAAATTTTTTAAAACCGGTGAAAGCAGCAATAAAACCGCTTTTTTTTATATTATAAGCTTTTTTGTCATCTAATAGTTCTTTCCAGCCACTAAAATAAAAAATAATATATTAGGAGAAGGATCGTGAAAAAAGGAATATCAAATATCAGTTAGCAAAAATTAAGATTAACTTAATAAAAACCGATTAATGTAGGTGGCATCCAAAGGAGCTAGCAAAAAATTCCTCGCCAATTGCGAGCGCTCATCAATAATATCAATGGTTGTTTTGGCGGAACAGTCGCCATCCAGGCACAAAACATAAAAGCCCGAATCTACAGTTCGCAATAAGTCGAAATTTTGACTGAAGGCTCTTATCATGTCGTCCCTTTTGATTATATTATTAAAATGCATGTAGATATAATAGATATTCGATCGAATTATTTCTCGTACATATAAAATAAAGTGAATTTTAGAGACCAGCAGGCCCGGCCTTTTTAGGAAAAATACCCGAGTGGGGCTGAATATTTTAAATCGCGATTATTATATATTGTGAAACAGATTATATTCTCAAAATACTATTCACATGGATTTCCTTAAATATAATTTTATTTTTATAGATTCAATATATAATATTCTTAAAATATTATTTAATCGCATTTTTTTCAAATATATAATTTAATTATAATGTCAATTTTTTTAAATTTTTTTAACAAAACCGAAATTGAATGATTTTACCAATAATAAATTTTTCATAGTATTAATTTATCAGTTAAGAAAAAGAAGAGAATTTAAAAGGTTATTGGATATGCAATGATCATATTCACTGAAAACCGAACGGTAAAATACCGAATAAGAAAATTTTTGTATATACCCAGGTCGATTTTTTAAAAAAAAATAATCCAGGCAGGGCCGTAATTTTTATATTTTAAAATAATCTGGGGCTAAAAAAAATATAAAATCCGAGTAGGGACTAAAAATTTTTAAATAATCCGGATCGGCCCGAAATTTTTTTAAGAATCCGAGCAGGACCGTGCCTGCAGGTCTCCGATTTATATACTAATGATTTAAATGTCGTTTTTTAAAAATCAAAACATAGTTAAAAATATTATATATTGGCAAAATTTTATTGCCCATTTCTAATTTAGATATTGGTATAAAAAGAATAGATAGCTAAATTTTAATTGTTTATAAATCAGAATGAACATTGTTTAATATAAAATTTATAGTGTAGAATATATTTTGAAAATATTTATTTCAATTGCAAAATAAAATGTTTAGATAAATACGATCCAAAACAAGTTCCTGTTAACTCGTGATATTGACCATCACTCCCTTATTCGATAATGGGGCTTATTTTATTTATCGCCTGTCTTTTATTTTGTTCAACACATTTTAACATTTCTCCGAATTAAATTACGTATCATATCCATCCCAATGCTTTATCTCAATCTCGTTTGGTGCCTCTCGCCTAATATATAACACATCTACCTGCTCATTTTTATCTCAGTCTTTTCCTTTTTTATTTGTGTATTTACAGATTATATCAACTAGGTTTCACTCGAGTATAGCCAACATATAAATATATTAAGCAGTAAACTCTTTCTCTCAAATCAACATATCATTCTACCGCTTCAAAAGCCAACACCTCCGTCTAACACATAATATGTCGGGATTTCGCCACTTTTTTCAAGGAAACTCAATTGCCGATAAAAAAAATTGGAAAGTAACGATTAAGGTAATGACGTTTCTTTTTGAGCAAATGTTTCTCTTTACTTTTAAATTAAGGAAGTAGATATAATAAGTGTAAAATTATGATATAAATTAGTGATCTGCATAGGGCCCAATTTTTCTAGCCCGGCCAGAAATTTTTTAAAAAAAGTTTTGCCAGCCCGGCCTCAACCCGAAATATTTTTAAAAAAGTTTTGCTGGCCCGGCCCGAGCCTAAAATTTTTTTTAAAAAAATTCACCGGAAATTAATTTTTATAATTACTCAAAATAAAAGATATATGTTATATGGCGTTTAGTTTCTATAAATAAAATCGAATATTTTAAATTTAAATAAAAAATTAAACATAAAATTGATAAATTTAGATATATTCAAAAAAATTTCTAAGGCCCGACCCGGGTTCGGGCATGGCCTACTTTTGCAGATCTCTAATATAAATACAACTAAAGGAAATAGCCGTTCCGTTATCACAGTCGATTTATTAAACCTCTATTAGCCTATGTTTGTCAGGTTATCAATGAAAATTAAAGCATTTTATTAAAATTCATTCTAGAATTGAGATATTAAATAAATTTAAATTATCTATTATTTTACATATCTTTTTTTAAATTAATTAAATATCCATTTTAGCAGAGTTTTCAGAGGAAATCAAAAGATTAAATTATAGATTTTAAAAATTATTTAAAATTTTGTTTTTCAATTAAAATATATAAGGGCCATTATTCTACGTCAAATCGATCACGATTCGGCCGACCCCTTTTAAAATTGTTAAAAATTTCTGGAATTATTTAGATAGTTAATAAAATGAGAAAGCCGTTTATTTTAGCTCGCTAGCACACCTGGTTCCCGAGATATAGGGACTCAAAGGTGCAAAAAAGAGCCACTTTGGAATCTGTAAAATTTTTAAAATGCTAATATCTCAAAAAAAATATATCAAATTGTAGGTAAAAAAATCTCTAAAGAGCTATAAAAAACAATAAAAATTGGCGCCAATTAGCCGTTAACTTCCGGTTTACCTATTTTGCTTTACCTGTGTTTTTAAGCAAAAAAGGGAGTTTGTTTTCGAAATTTTTTTATTGATTTTTATTTAGACACCTTTGTTAAATATATATACGATATCAAAATCTTAATGTAAAAAATAGAACAAATATCTTAATTAATAATAACTAATTTGAAATATGTCCTCTAGTCGAATCAAGTTCATAGAAATCCTCTAGTTGATTCAATTATATAACTCTTATTCAAGACTCAAATTAGAAGTCTTAAGTAAAAAATGTAAAAAACAGAACAAATATCTTAATTAATAATAATAAATAGGAAATAATCGTCCTCTAGTCTACTTAAGTTCATAAAATATTCATCCTCTAGCGACTTGAGTTCTTAACTCGAGTCAATTTGAGTTCAGGACTTAAGTTAGTCGACAACGACTCGAGACTCTGAGTCGGATGAATTCGATTTTTTAACAACATTAAATTTAAGATATAAAAATGTAAAAAAATATATATTCTATATATTTATAATAAGAAATCCATGAATAATATCTTAAACATTTTTAACAATAGATTTACATTTTCTCTCTTCTTTAAATAAATATATGTTGCTATATAATCTTCCATATACTAAGGCCTCCCAGATTTAACATATTCTGTTTTGAGGTCACGCCAAAGACCCTTGGACTGGGCATTTATGCTTCTATAAATCGGCACAAAAAAATATTATTTTCAAATTAATATTTTAGAAATTCGTTCTCACTATTAAAAAAAACTATCAATTTAAAAAATTATAAAAAATTCATTTAAAAAAAATATGTGTAAAAATTAGCAACAAATGGTTTTCGATAATAAAAATATCATTTAAAATAAATTAATTAAATGATAAATTTTGGATCACAAACCATAATTTTACCTAAATTTGACCATACTAATGCATAGTAACTATATTTTGGCTTACATTCTATAATAAAAGATAGAACCAAATTAATGTGTCACGTTGTGTGCATTTTTATTTTAGGTTCTCTATTCATGAGTCTTTAAGGCTCATCTATCCTCGGACCTCTCTAAAATAAAGGATAGATCCCTATTGACATGTGTCGAATGTTGTGTGCATTTTTATAAACTCCTTTACCTCATAAGTCCTCAATGGTCAAAGTTACTAATCCTAACCCAGATCTAGTCAACGTCCCAAATTTAACTACCCTCGTTCCATCCACGTCCTGCACTCTACCTAATCATATTTTAAATATAACATATTGTTATGTAATTTATCTCTCTTAGATGGTTGACAAAAATTTACAAACTTTTAAATTTGTATTTTAATGATGCCATAATGTTAAAAGATAGCAAGTCAAAAATTGAGCTTTGCAAAATATCATTTTCAAAAATTTGGATATTTCAAGTTTTTACACATTAAAAATTTTAATTTATAACTTTATATTTATTTAATGACTACCAAATGCTCCTCGTTTCAAACGCCTTGATATGGCCTTAGCCTAGGAGAACTGTAAGATAATTTTTTCGACCTAATATGTAGAAGGAAAAACATTTCCCCCAACCAAAACACGAAAAAAACAATAACACAATTTCCCGACCCGACTTAAACAGGTCGGGTCGTGGGTTTTGTAGACCTCTAATATGAATATAGATATATATTTTATAAATTATGTTCAAAAAATATCAATTTGTGAAAATTTACCAATGTAAATATAATGGGGGAATTCAAAATATACAAAGTGTCCTATTTTTTGCCAAACATTGAAAAAGGGATCAATAAAATAATATCAAATTAATTAAGGAACTTTTTTTTATGTTCATTTCTTATCTTTTACATTATAGTTTGATTCTAAGGGGTGCGCTCAATCCACTCTAATATAAAATGATAAATTATTATAATACCGAAAAACGGCCCATTCGTTTCTATCGCAAATTGCAGTCATGAGACCAACATTATTGCGTGGTGGATTCGGAGTGCCTTGGTTAAGCGTTTTAATTCGACTCAATATTGAATATATAACATTGGCTGGAAGAATGGCACCTTGTTTAACATCGAATACATGTTACAACAAATATATAAAAGTAAAAAACTGACTGGAATAAAAACCTTTAGAAAAAACTGACGGAAATATAAAACTTCGGAAATCTCAAGGAAAAAAAACTGATGGAAAAAGAAACTTAACAATAAATAACTGAGTAAACAATCTCTATTATCAAAGATAAAATATAATTAAACATGAAACAAAAAATACTATCTTTTAGATAAAGAAAAACATTTTTGGAAATTATATATACTCTTCAAGTCTTTGTTCAGGTTCTGATAGTTTAAATTTTATTATATTTTTGAAAAAGACGACAATTTATTCAGGAATTTTTTTAATAAGAAATGGACAGTAAAATTAATCAAAATAAGCTGTATTTAAATTAAATGGGCAGGATAAAAAACGTTTGGGATGCTTAAAATTTTTGGTCAGCTAATAATTAATTTTCAAGTTTTTTATTGATTTAGGCAGTATTTTAATTAAATAGGAAGTTTTAAAATAATTTGGTAGGTATTTTCAATTTTAGAGTTAATAATTAATTTTAAAGTCTTCTTATTTACATAGAAAGTTTTAATTTTTATTAACATTGAAGGTGTTGTATAGATTTATTTAAACCTTGGAAAAGCTAAAAATTAGGCATAGGGGGAACGAAATAGTATTATCCCCGGGGCAAGTAATTTCTTCTCAAATAATTTACTACTTTGAGATTTGAAATTTAAGTCAGATATGTATTTCAATAAGGTGCTTAAGTAGGTCTAGAAATGTTACACACATAATTGCTCATGATTATTAAATGCAAATTTAAATTTTAACACGTCTAAAGTAACTTTTTAATTTTTTACATTTTTAATAATAAATTTCTTTATAAAAATTCTAAATGATAATAAACTCAATTCATATATAAAAATAAACAGTATTTATGGTAATTTAATCCTTAAATTAAATTTTAATTAATTGTGAAAATCTAAGTTAGGTTTTCGGGGTACGTATTAGCAGCAGAGATTATTTTAAATAAAAAAAAATCTGACCAAATTTATAAGCACATTAGAAGCCAAATTTGTCTAGGGCCCCTAATGACAATATGAGGATGATTGACTATTTTTTTGTAAATTATATGGGAGTTTTAAGTGCAAGTTCTATCTGGTGATATACAATACAGATGAACCTAGTGAATTTAACATATTTGACAATTTATTTTCATTTATTTATTTAGAATTTAATTTTTATATAAGGCAATTTTTAAAAATCTAAAAATAAAGAAGCGATATATATGCAACGCGAAAGAATAATAGGTAACCCGGGTTTATTTTCATAATTCTTAAATTTTCATCTTTCAAAATTTTATATTAATAAAAAATTAATAGGTTTTTTCTATATTTAATTTCTACCGTAGAATATATATAAATAATAAAAATATTACGTTTAAACATTTTGGAAAATTTTCTTAATCTATTTTTTATATCACTTCAATTTTGTATGGACAATATATTCTTGATCTCTTCCATATCTAGATTAAGATTAAAGTAAAGGAAATATAGATAAAGAAACTCTGTAAATTGCATGCAAATTCTATCTGCTAACATTTTTATAGGTTATGAAACCTTAGCCAATCTCGATAATCTTTAAGGATATTCCAAGGTTTTTAAACAATATCTCAACTACACCTAAAACTTGATAATACATGGTAAAAATACTGCCAACCTCTTGTAAGTGATTATTAATTAATAATGCTCTCAAGTCTTTTAAATTTATTATTTCTATTTTTTTTAAATTTAAATTTCCAGATATATATAATGATATATAATTGCCGCTATGCTCTTGCCATTTTTCAAAAAAAAAATTGGGCATGATTGAAACTAGAGATGAATTATATAGGATAAACTTATCCGTAGATTAGGTCATGAATTATATATCATCATCTTCAAACTCAACATTAAAAAAATTATCTACAAAACGAGAAAATCTCGTGTTCTTGAATTTTTTGATGATATTTCCGATGAGGAATGATAAAAATAATATAATATTGATTATCTAACAAATATTTTGAGATCATCCATATCAAATCTCACAATATTATAAGAGTTTCCTCTTTTAAAACCATTTTGAAATCTCTACCTATCAAGTAGCGTTTTCCTTATAGATTATTTAGTTTGGCCATGACTTATATTAATATAGACTGCTCAAAGATTAAAAAAAGTCTTTAAAATAATCGCCATTTAAAAGATACAACGTTCATTTTAATAAATCTATGTTTATAGTATTTATGAATTTTTTTAATTTTTTATCTAAATCGCATATAAATTGCAAGATATAATATTTTTCAAAAAGATTAAAAATAATGAATTATTTTTTAAAAATTCATATATTAATTGTAGAAAATTAAATAATATATATTAAACAATTTTTTAATATAATATATAATAAGAAAATAAAGTAACAAAAAATTTCCGTAATATGGAGTATTTTAAAAATTTTGATTTGTAATTTTTTTATATAGCGGCTTAATTTACAACAGAATATGAATATATATTTTATAATATCATTGACATAAATTTAACAGAGTTGTTAAAGAATCTAGATACTATCTAGATCCTGTATCTAGATATAAAAATGTGGTATCTGTATCTAGATAGATTTTTGATTAAATAATCTGTATCTAGATATTATTTTAGACGTTGTATCTGTATCTAGATCCATTTAAAAAGTATCTTTTAACAACTCTGAAATTTAATATTCATGTAAAAGTTTTTTTTTGTTCAGCAAAAATAAGGATGTATATTTTCCATAAAAAAAGAAAGTAGGAGATATTAGCATTTTATCTGTAAATTAAAATAGTAAAAAAATAATGTTAAAAAAAATAATATTAATTAAAATTTAAACAAAATTATTTTTACTCATGATGATATCCTAGATCTTTTATTAATGCTTTAATTCATTCAAATTAATAATTAAAGAAAATTTATATATATGTTAGCGGCAATGTATTTTTTCCAGCAATGTATTATTTCAACCCTATATCATTTTTTGAACGCGTTTATTTTTGAATTTTATTTTTAATATCTAATTTTACCGGAAATGTATTGAATAATGTTTGAAATACCTACTTTATGAATTCCAGATAATTTTGCCATAATGAACTTACTATAATTTATAATAGTTTTTCCATTGATTTTTTTATATAATAAATCACTCATCTGGAATTCTTGAGATGCGTATTCTAGCATGCTGGGATACATTTTTAGTAAAACCAGATTTTTAAATTTAAAAAACGCACGCAAATAATGATTTTACGTTGTAAATATTACACATTGCCGGAAAAAACAAATTGCCGCTATATTGCATTTTGAATTAAAAGAAACTTATTTCTTCTATTGATTGCCACATATATAGGCCATTTAGATTTAGTTGTAAATATTTTGTTAATGGAAGAATAAAATCTTGAAAAACACATTTATATAATTGATAAATTAAAATAAAATATTTTGTAGATGTTGTATAAAAAGATTCATTTGAAAAATGTGCTATGCAAAGGCATGAGTATTTGTTTGGTTTAAAAAAATTTCTCTTTTTAAAAAAGAGCTTTATTGTTAATTGGAACCCTAAATAATTTTAAAAAATAATTTTTGATTCAAAGCCACATCCTATTATATAATAATAAAGTGATCAGGACTAAATAGAAAAAAAAAGTCAAGATATTAATATGTCTGTAATGAAAAAATATTATTAATTAAAATTATAGAATTATGTTTTCATGATATTATATATTATAATTCAGATTTAACTTAATTATCATTATATAAAGATTGTTAAAGGTTAAGAAAATTTATGAATGTAATTATTAGTAAATATATGAATGTTTATACATATGGAAAAGAAACATAATTATTTTTGCTGAACTGAACAAAAAAAAACTTTTACATGAATTTTGAATTCATGTCACTTTAGATTATAATATTCATATTCTGTTGTAAATTAAGCGGCTAATTTTCTTATATAAAAAAATATACAAATCAAATTTTTTAAAATGCTCCATCTTGCGGAAACTTTTGGTTACTTTATTTTTTTTATTATATTATATTAATTTTATAAAAATTGTTTAATATTTATTTAGTATTCTACATATGCATTTTTAAAAAATAATTTTTTTATTTTTCATCATCCAAAACAAACAAAGAAATCAATTTTTTATAAAACAAAAATATATTATTATAATATATAATAATACTATTTAAAAAAAAGAACGGAGATGGTGTGGCGCAGGGAAACAAAAATGTAAAAGGGACGTAAGTGTTGTTTAGGATGGCTCTTTGGCTAGAAGACTACCAACTGATATAATTAGCTTTAAGAATCGCTATGGATAGTCGTTGACGAAGAAAAAAACCCTCTCGAGGTTCTTCTGAGAGTTTGCTGATTTGTGATCCTAAGTTTTTGAAAAATGCTAAGGCGAGTTTGCCGAAGGTGCCAAGAGTGGTTGATATGATTGGGATCAATGATCGTTCATTATTTCTGTGTATTTAGAAGTTTTAAGTTGTTCCTTCTGGTCAAGGATGTTGATGGCGTGGTTGGATGGGGCCAAGGGGTCAATACAGGAATAGTCCCATACCAAAAGTTGGCCTCTCCTCCATGGGATTTGAGAGATCCCGTCAGGACGTTTACCGTCAGATCTAAAAAGACCCTGTGGTTCTAGAGTGGAAGGAATTTGGGCGGATTTCAGAGCATGTTGGATGATTGTATTACATTGCTTGTGTCTGATGAATCGTCCATTGCAGGAGCGACAATGTAAACTATGTCTACCCTTCGAGTCAACTGGCGAGTTGCACCCTGAGCAGATGTGAGGGTGAGTGATGGAACAATTTAGACGAATGCAGATGGCGTGGGTAAATTCATTGTTGGATAGTTGAAGCTGAAGATTGGTAGATGGGATGGCCTCAAGAAACTCATGTCCCGTACCATTGAGCAGGGAAGAGAATAGGGTGCGGTCGGTAGATTGCATGCTAGA